ACGCGCCGTTTTCTTTTTTTTTTAATTCCTCGAGGCTCATTGATCTCCTGTGATCTCCCGGTCATCAACACACGATCACAATACGAAAAATATAATTTACAAAATTACATAATTCGATCCTAGATCCAACGAATGGATGTACATGTTTTCTAAACAAATAATTAAATCTATTCGGTCAACCCCCGGGCGAATAATTATTACAAACATTCATCCATAAATTCCTCGACATGCCCGAGGCTCTAAAAACAAATTTAAAACCATACATTACATTCAACAACAATCATCAAACACATAATCGGCCATAATAGTGGATTAACTATTTTTCTGCAAAACCGAGTTATGCAAATATAATCCAATATATGGCTGCGTTTGAACACATCTTGTCAAATAAAGCCGTAAAAATTCGAAATTTGTACAAAACGAATTAACCAAGTGCTCTGATACCACTTGTTGGGATCTGTGAGGATTTCGTTATGTACAAATCACGAATTCAATAGCAAACGTAAACCTATGCGCAGTGGATCTAAAGGTTTGACGTAGAGAACTTACGGCTTAAAATTTATGTAGATCTGGTTGACCACGAACGGTTGACCGCAATTTATTGTCCGCAAATCATGTCTTGGGTTGCGCAAACAAGATCAGATCAAAACCGGATCAAACGGATGCAAACAGATCAAAACGAAAATTGCTGCCAGGCACCTTCTGGCGGCGCGTGAGGGCGCGTGCGGCGTCAGAATTCGGAGACGTCGGCAGCGATGGAAAGCTCTCGTCGAGACGGTCGTCTGGGTATATTGTACGTCTCAATCGGACTTCTGGTTAGTTCTGTAGGTCAAAATATATTTTGTCTCGGTTTACCTACAGATCTTCTACTGTATTACTCAATACACCCTTCTTCAACTTGTACCAGTGGAGCAATAAGAAGAAGATAAAGCTCGAATGAGATCTAGAGAGAGAGAGTAGGGGCGGCGTGTATCACGTGAATATGAGATGGGATCTCTTCTCATGAGCTTAATGATGTATATATAGAGCTACAGTAGGGACCCTAAGGAGATTAGGAAAAGGGCTCCTTAATTAATTAGACTAACTGTGGGCCAAACCCACTCCTCTAATTAATTAAATAATATTAATGGGCCACCAACATTATATTATTGCACTCCCTTTCCCTAGCCCAAATTACATTTGAGACTCCAATAATAATTACTCGATTTACCTCCCCACGTTTAAGATATAATGTCCATTAATTAATTCGATTACTGACAATCAAGAATTAATTAATTTATTATTATTTCACCGAAGCTAGCGCTCGTTCATCACATTCTTATTATGCCGGAATTTAATCCACCTGCAGGGTTTAGCATAACAATCCTTCATGAACTCACTCCGGGGACATCATCAAACTAACGCACATGGTGACCGTAAATATCCTAACAGCACATCCTATATATAATAATATTACCCAAAACAGTAGGAATATTAATCCAGCGAACTGAACCTCACCCATGTGAATCAAAGTAATATATATTATATATATCTGCTTGTTTAATATCTTACGGGTTAAGAGAACGCAGTAATTAACCGAGGCCTAGTTCATTTACGATGATCAGTATACAATGAACTTCTCCTCTCTGGGATCCTGTTCAGTACATAAATGTACTAGCGCAACTAATCAATCAAGACAAACTGTACAGTTGACACTACAACCGTTCGGATGGGGTGTTCATATCCATCTAGGTTGTGAACAACTATTCTTGTTCGCAAGTAACTGACAGAGTGATCTTCGGTTCGCCCGATGACGACCCACCCTATCTAAGTGCAGAACAACAGAATGTAGAACTTGTTTAATCTAACATGATTCTCATTCATAAAGGGTAAATGTGTAATATCATGCAAAGCCAAGCTTTCAGTATATAACACTAACAAGCGGATCTCTCTATCATCTCTTTCTCATACTGACTTGAGCGTCGGAGGTTCTACGCCGGAAACACTTCCAGTGTTGAGTTCTTGCAGGTGTTTACAGCGGTCTAGAGACGATTTGGAGGTTATTCGAACAGATTGGAGCTCACAATTGCCGGTTCACTTCAGATCTGAAAGTAGACCCATCGGAGCTCACAGCCACCGATTCACTTCAGATCTGAAAGTAGACCCATCAAGTTCCATACTGGAATTGAGGAGCAATCTCCTATCTGATATCTCACACCCTTCTTGAAAGTGTCCCTTACAGTCAACCAACTCCTCGAAAGCCAGTAGTCTTTATATTTCTTTTGGACATCAAACAAATTGGTCTTATGGAAATATTTCCCCTTTATCATTTTACTCACCATAGGTTAGGATGGGTCAATATTCTCCACAACTGTTTGAAAATCAAAGCCTCATTGAAAGCCACCAGATTTTTGAAACCTAAAACCCCCACCTCTTTGCCATTGGCTAAGTTAATCCAAGAGGCCCAATGAGTTTTGTCATTCCCTTTGTCATTTCTGCCCCACCAAAAAGAACTCATCACTCCACACAAGTCAGTACAGATAGAGATGGGTAGCTTGAAACAAGCCATGACATAGACTGGGAGTGCATTTAACACTGTTTTTATCAAGATCTCTTTAACAGCATCAATGAGAATTGAGTTTTTCCAGTTGCTCACACTTTGTTTTATCCTCTCACTGACAAACCTAAAGGTCTCTCTCTTTTATCTTTCCACTCCAAAAGGTAACCCTAGGTATTTAGAAGATGACACACAAGCAATGTCACTCAGAATAGAACACACATCTCTCACACAAGAAGCAGGAGAATTTTTAGAAAAGAACATAGAAGATTTAATCAAATTGACAGCCTGACCAGAAGCTTCCCCATATTCCCCCAGAATTTGCACCAATAAAGAGGCTTGAGCAACATAAATTTTACAAAAAAGGATGGCATCATCAACAAAGAAAAGGTGAGCAAGAGCAGGTGAATGCTTGCTGATTTTAACACCAAATAAAAGACCTCTAAGACTTACTTGTTTCAGTAAATTAGAAAAAGCTTTAGACAGTAAAACGAAGAGATAAGTTGATGAAGATCTCTTTGTCTCAAGCCCTTAGTAGGTAAGACAGAACCCATAACCTCCCCATTTATGTTGAAGGAGAAAGAAGTAGACCCTAAGCAAGCCATAATTCAAGCCAAATATTTAACATTAAAGCCCATTTTTCTGCAAACTCTAACAAGAATCCCCCATTCAACCATATCATAAGCTTTAGTCATATCTATTAATAGCCACATACCTATCTTTGGCTATCCTTTTACCATTTAAGAAGTGAATGCTCTCATTGGCGATAACCATATTATCTAAAATTTGTCTACCAGCTATGTATGCAGATTGTAAAGGAGAAATGCAAGAAGATAGGGTACTTTTCGGTCTATTTGCAAGAATTTTGGCTATGACTTTGTAAGTGACAGTACAAGGACTGGTTGGCCTGTAATCAGATGAGGATGAAGCAGGTTTATTTTTTGGAATGAGAGAAATGACTTTTTGGTTCACAGATATAGTTATTTACTAGAAAGAAAGAAATTGTTAATAGCCACGCACAGATGATGTTTCACAGTTTTCCAAGAAGAATGAAAGAAAGCAGGTGACATACCATCAACTCCTGGTGACTTGTTTGGGTCCATAGCCATGAGAGCAGCTTTAACCTCTTCTTCTTCCACTGGTTTCAATAGCTGAGCATTCATCTTCTCTGTAATTGTAAGAGGGATACCCTGAAGGCTGCAATTCTCAATCCTGGGGTCAGATGATTTGAACAGACTTTAAAAAAAAGCTTGCACTTCATCTAAAATCTATTGGTTTTTAGCACACCTTCTCCCTTCTGAGTTCACTAAATTTTTCCAAGCTATTCAATTTTCTTCTTTGGTTCACACTTGTATGGGAAAAATTTTGTGCTTTTTTCCCCTGCTTTTAACCAAAGATCCCTAGATTTGTTACTCAATACACTTCTTCTTCTTTCTAGGCCAAAATTAATCTATTCTTAATGCTAGTCCAGGCTGCTCATTCCCTAAAACCCCTTTGCTTGTTTAGATCCGAGAGTTTGCTCTTACACTCTTAGAGGGAGATTTGGCATATCTA